TTTTCTTTAGAATCTCTAAAAAGTGTTCAAAAAGTAAAGTAACGAAATCCTGCCAATCTGTCTAGAAATCCATATAGTACATATTCTATAATAGATAATTTATTTCTTAATCAATTAAAATAAATTGCATTAAAAATAGCAATTTCTCTTCTATGATAATATAACAAAATTGTGTTTACATTTTAATCTCGCATTAAAACGAATTGCCACAAAAGTTCATTATTCTCTGCAGACAAAAAGTCTTTAACATAATAGAAGTAAATAGAACAAAACAATTTATAAGCAAATTAACAAAATATTGCGAAATTATTCAACAATCAGCAATGGAAATTTTTATTTTAACAAATACCAACTAAACAAACATTTTGTCAATTTGCCAAATAGAAAATTTCCTTAAAAACAAAAATAAACCCTTAGCCACCACTCTTTCAAACACTACCGGCTATAAAACCTTCACTTTTCTTACACAAAAACATGTGTGTCCACACTATTGAATTTGTTGGAGCAACTCGCTTATACTCGTAATGATACCAAACAGACAGACAAACATTTCGGCAAAGACCTTGAAAATATAAGCTCAAAACTATAATATATAGTTAATTGCGCTGTGTTTTAAGGCTCCATCATCAAACATAACGAGGGGTTTCTCGTTTAAGGAAATAATTAGAATTTTCTACTTACATTTTCATGATAGAAAGCGGCTGGCACACTCTGTACGCGTTTCAATTGATTTTGTAATAAACGTGAGGCTCTGGTTAAGGACATTTTCCAAAGGTTTTGTTTATCTTTTCCAAGTGGTTATTATTTAATAAAAATTGTTGTGAAATTACAAAATTTTCTTCTTCGTTTAGAGAAATTTGTTACGCGCACACAAGGTATTTTTTCTACTTTTATTTTTATTCTGTGCGAACTGTCAGAATTTTCTAATTGCGTTTTGTTAAATTCGCAGTATCAAACAGCTGACTTGTAGAGTTGTATAAAAAAGTAGTATAGTTAAAAAAGTGTCTGGGATAAAAAGTACTGTATAAACAAACTAAATCAAGATTCAAAAACTTAAATTTTTGTTGCTAAACTTTAGTTTATTGGAAAGTAGGTGTATCAGGATCCGTGGTTGGTACTAGAAATCTATAATTCCACTTTTTGTTGATTGTTTTATAGAAACCCAAAGAAATAAAAACAACAACAAGCCGCTAAAATGCATTCATTGTATGAGGAGGGTTGTGAATAACAGTTGAGTAATTGTGTGTAGAGTTGCCAGATAAAAAAATTTAAATAAAGCTGTCAAAGTTTTTTTTTTAATTGGGTTTTTTTTCGCGCTAAAGTTAACAGTAAAAAAGTGATTGTGTTACAAAAAGTAGAAAATGCTTAAAATAGTGAAAATTAAACAGAAAAATTTTTAAAATAGTGCTGTGAATAGTGTTTAAGCTAAGAAATTTAAAATCGTGATTCAACAAAGAAATTGTAAACATAAAAACAAAGAAATTATAAAAATACAATTTACATTGACCAAAAACTTAAGCTTGGAAATAAAGATTCCTTTTTCTTCCAATTACCCACGTATTTAAAAAGAAAATACTGAATGATACCTACATTTGGAAATCTAATCGGAAGTGTCAGCCAAATCTCAAATTAATGTTACAATGGCAAATATATCAGCATGTAGCAGGATGTCATGGAGGTAAGTACAAAGTTGTTAAGTTTTCGGCCATCTTTGTTTTACATTCGAAACGTAGGGAATCCTTTTTTAACTCGAAATTATTGCTATTCCACAAGTAGTTTGGAGCACTGCAGGTAGTTATTTTATAAAGTAAATAAAATAAAGTGAAATTTAGCAATATCTTAAAAACTCCATTAGAATTGCTGAATTCTACAATATGAAGCTGTCGCCATTGTAAGAATTACTTGAAATTGCTTAAATTACCTATGTATAAGTTTCTGACACATTAAACAGGCTAGCTACATATTTCAAGATCTGTTCCGTCCAGTATTTGTCTGTGAAACAAAACTGGAAAAATACATTGAAATGTTAAGTACAGTTACATGTAAGTAGAAATGTATGTTAAAGCCCGGTCGATAAAAAAACGAAAACTTTGACACAGTCCTGTTAAAAACTGATCAACAAGAATTTCCGATATCAGCTAAGAGTGTTTTTAAAGTGGTTCATGGCAGTGTTGTGGATTTGCCTCTCGTGGTACAAAATTGTCATTATTATTTGAACAACTACCACTTAAGACCCTATTTACCAAACAGGTCCAGATTTATGACGGCAGTCTGTGTAGGTAAACGTTTTTTTAGTCACTCCGTTATATTTATTCCTGAGTCTATAGATGATTGTCTTCTTTTGCCACAACAGCAGATGTCTTGCCGCACAAGAAACATTTTGAAGAATTTTGTTTGTCTTTTTATGCAGTATTATAATAAAAATCTGGACTTGGATGTTATCGCCCAGCCAACATCCCACACATACAAATGTGTTTTTTTGTAATAAAATTGATACAACTTCAACCCAACATTATTTTTTGGACTTATTTTACAAAACCTGATCATTCTGGTTTACTTTCGGATTTGGGAATGATAAAATCTGACACAGGTTTTAAAGTTGTTGGCCCGATTTAGCTCCTGTAAGTTTACTCTAAATGTTTTCATTTGTAATATCAAATAAAACGGATAGATAGATAGATAGATAGATAGATAGATAGATAGATAGATAGATAGATAGATAGATAGATAGATAGATAGATAGACAGATAGATAGATAGATAGATAGATAGATAGATAGATAGATAGATAGATAGATAGATAGATAGATAGATAGATAGATAGATAGATAGATAGATAGATAGATAGATAGATAGATAGATAGATAGATAGATAGATAGATAGATAGATAGATAGATAGATAGATAGATAGATAGATAGATAGATAGATAGATAGATAGATAGATAGATAGATAGATAGATAGATAGATAGATAGATAGATAGATAGATAGATAGATAGATAGATAGATAGATAGATAGATAGATAGATAGATAGATAGATAGATAGATAGATAGATAGATAGATAGATAGATAGATAGATAGATAGATAGATAGATAGATAGATAGATAGATAGATAGATAGATAGATAGATAGATAGATAGATAGATAGATAGATAGATAGATAGATAGATAGATAGATAGATAGATAGATAGATAGTAGATAGATAGATAGATAGATAGATAGATAGATAGATAGATAGATAGATAGATAGATAGATAGATAGATAGATAGATAGATAGATAGATAGATAGATAGATAGATAGATAGATAGATAGATAGATAGATAGATAGATAGATAGATAGATAGATAGATAGATAGATAGATAGATAGATAGATAGATAGATAGATAGATAGATAGATAGATAGATAGATAGATAGATAGATAGATAGATAGATAGATAGATAGATAGATAGATAGATAGATAGATAGATAGATAGATAGATAGATAGATAGATAGATAGATAGATAGATAGATAGATAGATAGATAGATAGATAGATAGATAGATAGATAGATAGATAGATAGATAGATAGATAGATAGATAGATAGATAGATAGATAGATAGATAGATAGATAGATAGATAGATAGATAGATAGATAGATAGATAGATAGATAGATAGATAGATAGATAGATAGATAGATAGATAGATAGATAGATAGATAGATAGATAGATAGATAGATAGATAGATAGATAGATAGATAGATAGATAGATAAATAAATAGATAGATTTTTACAAAAATATTTAGCTTCATCGATTTTATTTATATATGATACTAATATTCAAATGAATTATTCTTCTTTCGAAATATTTATTGTATTAAAACCCTGGGCAATTTATAAGCACTCAAAGTGAATTGCAAACGATAGACACCCGTTGGCAAGGGTAGCGTTACCATTTCCGATGTTATACCAAATTTATTTACTATAATGTGAGACTTGAAAAAATAAGAAAAAAATTAATTTTTCTTTAATTATAACAAAATTATAATTAAATCATCAATTATTTACCATATTTAGAGGACATGTTGTATTCATATTACTAAAGGGACGCACTTGATCGAATACATATTTCTCAAAGGACATGGGGTAATTAGAATTTTTCATTAATTTGCAAAAATTAAAATTTATATCGTACAGAAACGGTTGAAAGCCACCGCTATTGCTTTTTTGGAATAATTGTAAGCGTATCTGGAAAGATAAATTAGAATTTTCTTAAAACAATTTTGTACATTTTTTTGTAATTTTGTACATTTTTTTGTATTTTAAGTTTTACTAAAAATTTTGTGCTGAAAATATTTATAACCATAAAATTTAAAAATGTTTTAAATCGTATACAAAATGTACAACATATTATCAACTAATTATTACTTTTAAACAAGATTTTTATGTCGATAAATATCGTCAAATAAAATGCATTTTTATTGAATTTTGTTAAAAATAACGAAATGTGCAATAGAGCAGAAAATTTCTATTAATTTTAAGAATTATTAAAAATCTAATTGTTGTTGACAGTGTTTTTAGGAGAAACAATTATAAACGTATTATGAGCATTTAAAAATTATTAATATTGTTTAGGTATAAATTAATGGATTTGTAAAAATGTTTTTTTTCCAATTTCCAAATGCTTTCGTTTTACATTTTCTAAAGAAGACCGAAATAACATCAATTTTGATTGGTATGAATACTCACCATCACATTCGTTATGGGTACTTTATAGAGGGCCAATTTAAAAAACATTTCCGCATAATTTCTCCTCACCGCCTTCAAACGACAATCCTCGACATGACAAAAATCTTTGGCATTTATTAAATCTTCACACTTAAAATTCGACCATTTTAATACTGCAGATGAATCCTATTTATTTTGTAAAATTAAAACAAATTTACTACTTTCTTTTAATTTAAAAAATTAATTTAAATTTACCGTAATTTTATGAAAATTTACAAAACACAAAAGCAAGAAAAACTTAATTGTTTGGGACATTTTATACAACTGTTGGAGAAATGTTTTCAATAATAGATTTAAATATAAAATATCAAATATTTATTAATATTAATTGTAATTAATATTTAATTAATTTAACAAATTGTAATTAAAAAAAATTATGTATACATGAACTCTGTATTAAATATAGGGGTTTCAATGCTCGTGCTTTCTTTTTTTAACTTTTATAAAACTTTGATGCGCAAATAATTTGGATAATTTTGAAACTTATGTATAATATTGGTATTGTAAAAGGCATAACCAGGTGGTAATACTCCTCCCCTAAAAGAAAAATGAAAACAAAAATATTGTAATTATTGTAAACTAGTTCTAGATGAGTTGCAAATATAATTACTTCATAATCTTGAACTTGAAGCAAGTTTTGTCATAATTTGCAATCATAACAATATCAAACAAAAATCGTTAAAAAAGAACTAGTTCTAGAACAGGTTCTATGAATCTGTATTAATTCTTTCAAACTTCTCTAGAACTAGTTCCGCTGATAATTTCAAATAAAGAACATGAACCTATAAAGTTTCCCGATAATTAGTTCCGGTTGATAGTTTCAAACAAAAATATTGGATTAGATAACTAGTTCTAGAAAGGTTCTATAGATTGAATGTCGACTATATAATTCTTCCCTAGAACTAGTTCCAATTAACAATTTCAAACGAAAGGGAACTAATACAATTCTCGATTCTTATGAAATCAATTAACAATTTTGAACTAGTTCCGGTTAACAATATAAAACAGTAGTAGTAGCGAATATCCACTTTATAAAGCTAGTTCCGATTACAGCTACACACACAAATCCACTGGTCTCCATGTCAAACTTCAACGATTACTAGGTCAATACAAGCTTTCTCAAATGAGTTGCGGAAGTAATACAATTTTTTCTCGATTTGTTTAAAGATTTAACAACTTACCTTTCCGGCATTTTATTCCTTTCCTCAAGTATAGTTGTAGCGCTCAATAACAGACAAACGCAACCGCAACCATAAAAAGGATTCTCACCACTTATTTCAATATTTAGTTGGCGATCAACTATAGAATAATCATTTATATGCAATTTTGGACACAGTGCCGCACTGGACCAACCTTTGGATTGTAATTTTATTTTATACGAAGACATTTCTAAAAGATAATAGTTTGGTCCTTTGGCGGAAAACAAGCCAATTGAAAATATTTTGGGATAATTTTGCATTATTTTACGCATTTTATTGAATTGTGCCAGAAGGGATGTAATAAGGCACCAAATAATGAAGAGAAGCGCCCAGAAGTAGGAACTGAAATAAGATAAAATGGATAGATAGATAGATAGATAGATAGATAGATAGATAGATAGATAGATAGATAGATAGATAGATAGATAGATAGATAGATAGATAGATAGATAGATAGATAGATAGATAGATAGATAGATAGATAGATAGATAGATAGATAGATAGATAGATAGATAGATAGATAGATAGATAGATAGATAGATAGATAGATAGATAGATAGATAGATAGATAGATAGATAGATAGATAGATAGATATATATATATATAGATAGATAGATAGATAGATAGATAGATAGATAGATAGATAGATAGATAGATAGATAGATAGATAGATAGATAGATAGATAGATAGATAGATAGATAGATAGATAGATAGATAGATAGATAGATAGATAGATAGATAGATAGATAGATAGATAGATAGATAGATATATAGATAGATATATAGATAGATAGATAGATAGATAGATAGATAGATAGATAGATAGATAGATAGATAGATAGATAGATAGATAGATAGATAGATAGATAGATAGATAGATAGATAGATAGATAGATAGATAGATAGATAGATAGATAGATAGATAGATAGATAGATAGATAGATAGATAGATAGATAGATAGATAGATAGATAGATAGATAGATAGATAGATAGATAGATAGATAGATAGATAGATAGATAGATAGATAGATAGATAGATAGATAGATAGATAGATAGATAGATAGATAGATAGATAGATAGATAGATAGATAGATAGATAGATAGATAGATAGATAGATAGATAGATAGATAGATAGATAGATAGATATATAGATAGATAGATAGATAGATAGATAGATAGATAGATAGATAGATAGATAGATAGATAGATAGATAGATAGATAGTAGATAGATAGATAGATAGATAGATAGACAATGTTTACTTACGGAAATTCTATATATTTACAAAACTGTATAGGTCTCTTTTTATTTCGTGCAAACCATAAATATTGCGACCTTTCTATAGATTGCTGATCTATAAAGGAAAGTTTACCATAACACCCGCTTCATGATAGCTTGAGCGTTGAGAAAGTTCTCTAAAGAAAAAAAACTAATTCAAAGAAATAGTTTAAAATTTATATCATCATACTCTATGTGAAGTCTAGGCCATAAATTAGGCATCATTTCTGCCATAATTCATCTCTTAACAATGATAATTCTGGAAATTTGACACAGGACCATAACAAACTTAGCCAAGCTGTAGCGGTCCATATCGGATGGAGAGGAAAATAAAAATAATAACCAAAATTATAACGCACAAAGCATCCACACTATTTACAGTACCTTAGAAATAAGATTAAAAAATAAATTTCCTATATATAAATTTGCACTGAAAATCTTACCCTTAAAATGTTGCCTCACATAATTTAAAGCCAATTCTAAGGGAAAACTATGGAAACCACAGGCTGAAATGACAAAGACCTCATGTTCTAAAGCTTTTTCATGATACTTAAGTTCCATTAATTCATTAAAATAAGGATCATTGCACATATCCACATAATGGGTACGTTGCATGATGCAACTGGTTAAAATATTTTCCGCTAATAATTGATAAGGTCCACAACAATTTACTAGAACCTATAATAATTCTTAATTAAATAATTATATTTTGTTTGTAATGATCACTTACATTACATTTGGCTGCTAATAGTTCCAGTTTCTCCAAATCATGGGCATTTGCTAGTAATATTGGTATATTTGTTAGATTCTTGCCAGTTTTATCTGAAATTTCTTTTAATACCATTTGTAATTTATGCTGAAATGTTTCTTTGAAATATTATCTTGTTATTTTTGAAACGTATTTCTTATAGTACCTCTGATCTTCCTGCTATGGCCCAGTTATAGTCTTTCAATACCTCCAATGCCTGTAAGACAGCACATTTTCCTACAAAACCGCTGGCCCCATATATTATTACATCGAATTTTTTGGAATTCATTTAAAATATTAAATTTAAAACAGTCTTGAAAATATGTATTGGAAATACAATTTCCTGAGAAAATTTCTAGTAAGAAAATTTAACTTCTAAACATGTTTTTTAAAAATATAATAACAAAAATTACAAATACGATTCTGTTAAGATGTTTTAGTATCAAAAATGTTCTATCACAATTGTTTAGCACTAACCAATGTTCTATCAAAGTGTTAAATACTACAATTTTGAAATATTGTTTACTACAAAAAAAAAGTTTCTTGTTTAATAATCGATAATTTTAAATTTCCCATAAGAAATTTTTCGATAACTTAAGTTTTTTTATTTTAATTTTCTTAAATTTTCTACGGATTATTAAATTCCTATTGAATAATTTTACCAAAATCAAATTTTAATAAAAACTTTATATGGGAAGAATTTTATTGCAAAATTATCTTTAAATATTGTGGTAAATAAATATTATTGTTAAATTCTATAGGTAATGTGCAGCGTGGCAACACTTCACCATTTATTTTTCTTTATACAGTAGTTTTTACCGGTTGTTGTGTTACAAATACAAATTGTTGTTTTTTCCCCTGTTTTCGTTGTGACAGCTAACGAACAGCTGATAGCAAACAAATAAAAACAACAACAGAAATCATAAAAAATACAACAAATATCTACATATTTGCGAAAAAAATAGACACGTAAGATAACATAGAAAAAACTACTTAAATATACGCATATTTTAATAATAAAACATTAAGTTAATTTCACAAAACTATCAAAGAAAGACGTCATAAACTTAATATAAACATGAAATATCTAGTGATACTACTGATAATTTGTTGCCTTTTGCCTCAGGGATGGGCAAAGGAAAGTAAAGAAAACAAAACATTTGTGGCTACAAAAGAATGGCAAGAAATACCGGAGGGTAAGTTGATGAAATGCAAAAGCAATTGAGAGAGACATTTGAGTTTATGTTTCTCTAACAGGTCAAGGTGTACCGGCCCGGCTTGCATATTAGAATAAATTTGGAAACTGGCAAAAAAGAAGCGAAAATTCTAGAAGAAAATGATGACTCAGCGGATGACCGGAAGCAACAGCACCAGCAAATGGATTAAAAATGCTGCTCTTTCAGTGGTAGCAGAAAGTTCTGGCGAGGAGGATGATAAGAAGAGCACAAAAAAACAAAAAAGTGAAACATTTAGATGAAGCTTTACAAAGGATAGGTATTGATTATACACCCAAGGAAAAGGTGGAAAATATTATACGTGAATATAGATCTTATGAGGAGTTAAAGAAAAGCTTTTGAAGGCATGCGTAAATCCTTTAAAACAGATGCTGAGGTTATAACACAACTAATAGAGGAATTTCAAACTTCTACCACCTCTACAGCAACAGATAGCAAGGAGGTCAAGGCACGTGTCAAGACTCAAATGCAAATATTGGAAAGTTTTAATTATTTAATGTCACAATTTGATAATGCTTTGGTGTTGTGGACAAAGGTGGTTTGGATCATGTTTTACTACCGATATTGGTGAATAGCACCAACCTCAGCGCTTAAGGTAGAGAGCATGCGGGTTTTAGGTGCCATGTCACAGAATAATCCTCGTGTGCAAATTAAGGTTTATGAGCGTAATGTGGGTTCACATCTAGCCCAAATAATAATGACTTCTACAAATACGGAAGAACTTTCAGCGGCCCTATATGCCTTTAGCGCTTTGCTGCTTAAATTTCCTTTGGCTCAGCAAAGAATACTCTCTACATCGGGCACACAAGCCTTAATGTCCGTACTTAATCGAGACTGTGAGCTTAAAATCAAAGTGAAAGCTGTGGTTATAATTGGCGATCTACTCAATGAGCGTCAATTGGCACTTTCTGAATTATACCGATGATCCTTTAGCAGCGGCCCAATATGCTGAGATCAAATTATCAGTTTGGCTAATCGATCAAAACTTTTGTGAAGTTTTGTTAAATTTACTGAGTGAAAGTGGTATTAGGTTCCTTGAGGCACCCGATTTGTTAGAATATGTTGTTAATTCTCTAAATGTCAAAGACCATTTATGTAATGTCATATGGAGTCAAGATTCTCGTATAATGCAGATTTTTATAGCTCTTAAGAGAGATTAATACATTCTAAAGATGAGTACCACTTGGAAGTAGCTCAGTTGCTTGCTCAGCTTTTGGATAAATTATATGGGGATGAATACAAAATTCATGATGAGCTGTAAGTTTTCTTCTCTCCTTACTCTCGTATACTCATAAGGTAGCTGTAGTTTTATGAATATTTTTTTTTTTTACAAAATTAATTGTTAAAATATTAAAGTCTGTTCTTTTTTAAATATAGATGATATTCTGTGGACTGTAGTAGTTTATTTAAGATTTAAGTTTAAATTATTTCGCTATTAAATAAAATGTCTATTATAAAGCAATTAAAACAATATTGTTTTTCTTAATAGAACGTATAAAGACGTAAAAATTAACTTATTTTATACAACCTAAAGTTTTAATGAGATGTTTGTTGTTCTACAGAAAACAAGACTTTAAAACTGTGACAAAATTTTATACAATTTTTATTTATAGATAGCTAGATAGATAGATAGATAGATAGATAGATAGATAGATAGATAGATAGATAGATAGATAGATAGATATAGATAGATAGATAGATAGATATAGATAGATAGATAGATAGATAAGATAGATAGATAGATAGATAGATAGATAGATAGATAGATAGATAGATAGATAGATAGATAGATAGATAGATAGATAGATAGATAGATAGATAGATAGATAGAATAGATAGATAGAATAGATAGATAGATAGATAGATAGATAGATAGATAGATAGATAGATAGATAGATAGATAGATAGATAGATAGATAGATAGATAGATAGATAGATAGATAGATATAGATAGATAGATAGATAGATAGATAGATAGATAGATAGATAGATAGATGGATAGATAGATAGATAGATAGATAGATAGATAGATAGATAGATAGATAGATAGATAGATAGATAGATAGATAGATAGATAGATAGATAGGTGCATTTTTGCCGAAATAATAGCTGAAAATTAATGATTTGGAAATACATATGGTTTAACGCTACCGTGATCAAAAAAATATAATTTGTTATACTAAGGAAAAGATAAGTTTTTTCTAGTATGTATAAATTTTTTATGATTTAATCCTTATGTGAGAGTTTCCCATACCTCCAACCTGCACGCAAACAACAATGATTTATGCCACCAGATTAATAGTGTGAGAAGTAACATCCCTTTTTTAAAGATTAATGGGTTAAAACAGCATTCCAACATACAAGCCTTTAATAAAAGATTCATAATCGACACCCAATTACCACACTCCAGGCAACATACTGACACACATTCGAACAGTAGCCCACATTAACAAAATATTTCTGGTAACTCATATTGTATGGACCCTTCTCTCATGTAGATACAAATAGTAAATGCAGTCAGTAAGTGCATTGATTATAATGAACTCATTGAGGCAAAATGCATTGACACGTTTGTGTGTGTGTTTGCCTACTCTGAATCATATTCAAGTGTTGGAATGGGGAAGCACATGTTACTGTTGCATAAATCGTTAGTAACCCCCCAAACATAAGGACCTTTATATTAATAAATGTTACACTAAACACTAATTTTTAACAAGAAACAAATGTAAATGGTGTGTGTAGCATAAAGATTCCTATAGTTCGGGGGCAGCTGTTTTAAAGAAAAAGAGTGTTGGAATTTGCTGAACATGTTTTTGTTTCGAGTTATTTTTTTCTTAATTTTCATTTTGGGTGAAGTTCAAGTTCAATGTAAAAACAGGACAATTTTGTAATGATTTTAAGGATGCAATTTATCTGTGTTTTTTTAATTCTATTTTTATTTATTTGTTTTTCTTTTTTAAGGAGCAAGGTGCTTCTTTTTAGGGATTTTTTTTGTAAAATTTTAAAGTTGGTGTAAATAAATGTGACAGAGTTTACATGTTTTTTACTTAATTTTAGTTTAATTTTTATAGAGTGTAAAACAAAAAGGGAACTAGGACATGTTGGAGTTTTCTTTTTGTGAATAATTATGTGCACTTAAAGAAATAAGTTGTAGAAATGAAACGTAATTCGTCAGAATTTCTTCAGTTTTCTTTAAACTAAATTTGTCACTGAATAAAACTGTGACAGGTATTCCGTAGAAACTAGACTATAGACTAGACTATAGACTAGACCAACGGTTCCCAAATGGGGGTCCGCGGACCCCTAGTGGTCCGTAGTAAAATCCTAGGGGGTCCGCGAAGACGAACGAAAAAAACATGAATAGACAATATTCTTTTATATGTATGTACAAATATCTCCAATTTTTGTGCAATAATCCCAAATTTTTTGGTGACTTTTTGAATTTTATTTTTTCGGTTGTTTATCAGGAAGAAGCTAGGCCCTACAAATTTATTGTATAACTTTTATAAAGTAAAGTATTGCGTGATTTGTAATTTTTATTTCCTGTATATCTACTGAAATAATGGTTTTTATTTCAGACAAATAATACTCTGCCTTACAATTAAATTAGGGATACTGGTATTCCGGAGTATGAAGTTCAATTCAAAGACAAGCTCATTACAGATTTAAGTTTATCAAATTGTAAGCAAAAGTGTTCTCGTTTGAAGGGACTAAAATTATATATTTCAAAACAGAGGTGACTCTTTATGCATCTCTTTATAAATATTCCAATCCGAAGTGATACACAGATTTTAACTTGATTTTGTCGACCAATACATATTATTAAATTAACATCAGAAAATCCATAGCGTTTCGCGTAAATATGTAGCCAAAAACCATGAAGTAAAATAATTCGTTGGTATTTTAAAATTCAAATTTAAGTTCCAAATTCACAGTACTTTAACAAAGAGTTCAAATCATATATTATGCGGATAACGCATTCCGCAACAACATAGAAGAAGTCCAACTTTCTTATATTATTTTCCCGAAAACTTAGCTCACTTATCAATCGCAACAAATTTTTTAAACGTGACTCCTTA